AGAGAGAGAGAGAGAGAGAGAGAGAGAGAGAGAGAGAGAGAGAGAGAGAGAGAGAGAGAGAGAGAAGGCCCTCGGCACGAAGCGCACGGCCCGTACGCTTAAACGACGGTTCCGCCTGTGAGGGGCCCTCAGGCTGCCGTTGTGCCTATTACTGGCACGGTCCTGTGGGGGCCACGGGCGCGGGTCCTCTGAGTGGGTACCCGGGACACTGCGAGGAGCGGATGCTGAGCGAGGCCTGCCACAATAGCAGTTCGGGCCTTGGTGGATAACCTCCTCGTCGTTGAAGATGCCGCCGAAGTGTCGAGGAACGTACGGAGAGCTCATCCCTGTCGACAGAGATAGACAGCGAGAAGCGGAGCTGAAGTTTGTCGGTTTCAAGTGGATGGTAAAGGGCCAGACGCTGCCGGGTCGGAATGGCAACTTCGCCATGAAGTGCAACCTCTGCGAGGAGGAATTTGTGGGCAGTTAGAGCAAGTGCGCGTTGCACTACACCATCAAGAACAACTGCCCGCAAGCGTCGTTGGACGTTTTGGCTGAGATCTGGAACAAAAGTGCTTACCACTTCGATCAGAGCCACTGGAAGAAGATACAGGCGTACCTTGCGGAGAGGGGGTTTGCAGACAAGAGACGACAACTCGGCTAAGAACAGGGAAACTCGGGAAAGGAGGACGAAGATGACCCTGAGCGAGTGGCGCAGAAAGACGACGAACAGGGTGGAGGGGCGTGTGAGGCGCCTGAGAGTGGAGGTGTTGGGGATGTTTCGCGGGGTGCCGACGATAGATCAGAGTTTTGCCTCAGAGAGGGACATCCGAGGCTGGCCGCAGCCTTTCAGCCACTGTCGGGGATTTACCTGCCACGACTGGCTCGTTGTAAGATTTTCTGGGCATGTCGATGGGACCTCCACTGACCGTCGTTGATGCTGGACAGACCCCGGTTGGCGCGTGCGAGACGCCGATCAGCCAGGTTGTACGAGGATTGGACACTGACGGCGGTATCTCGAGCAGTTTGTTGATGGAGGCGGCTCAGGGGATGGAGGGTACGCCCAGTCGGCCCGTGCGGAGCACGGGGTATGTTGTCCATTTCCCACGCCTGCAAGATATGGATGTCGAGTTGGATGTGAATAGGAGGGACCGAGAGGAGAGAGAGCGAGCGCTGGCGCTTACTCAGTCCTGCCCTATGACGCAGGATATCAGAGCGAGTTTGGATGTTGCTCACGCCCTTGAGACGGGCGTCGCACCCGTCGCCTCGACGGATCTTCGTGACACCTGCGGTGCGGGGGAGGGGACGCATGGTGTTGAGGATGTTGAGGAGGGGGGCGCCCCCTGGCCCGCACAGGGTGATGGCGTAGGTTGCAGACCAGGACTCCACCCCATTCGGGGTGAGGATGACGATGCGGAGGGAGGTGGTGATGGGGCTGTCGGTGGAGGAGATGCACCTCGCGGAGGATCAGATGCAGTTACTCAGCATGATACGGGGGCGGACGACAGACAGACCAGTGGTGGAGGGGATCATGAGGATGCAGGAGGCGACCGAGACTCTAATGCAGGAATCATGCAGCGGTGTGCAGATGACGGACGTGGCGAGAAGCCAGCCGATGCCGTGGTCGTCGGCCGCCCTGATGCACTTGTGGAGGGTGTTCGTGTGTTGCCTTTAGGTGGCGCCATGTCCATTGCAGTCTTGGAGTGCGATGGGAGAAATGATCCTCTTGCGGCAGATCGGCGGGGACAGATGGAGGATGCCAGCATGAGAGTTTTGGAAGACCCCTCGCCGTATGCACCATGTAGCCCATCTGTGCCCTCTTCCATGACAGGCTTCAACCCCCCCCCATGGGATTCTGTGGAGCAGATGGAGAGCATCAAAGCCGCATGCGTGGCAAATACGAGGTCGTGGGATAGTGGTCGTGGCGGATCAGAGAGTCGTTCCTGCGGACGAGGGACACGGCAGTCGGAGGGCAAAGGTTTAGACAGTCTTTCTCCGCAGTCGTGGATGAAGACACGACCTCATGGGTTAGGTTCGGTGAGGAAGGTCACTAAGGTGATGTGAGATATGCAACCAGGATTAGCTGCCTTACCTGCATCTATGAGACCTCCACCGTTGCCGCGAGGGGGGGACATTGTGGTGGATACAACAGGTTGGGGTCGGGGCGAGATTGGTGGATCGCGTTTGGACAGTACCGGGGCCGGTCCTTCGACACATCGCAACGCCCGCGTGACAGGTGCACTGACACAACGAACGGGGACGAGGGTTGATGGACGTGCGTTGACCACTTCGACGACTTTGGATCTGCTTCCGACCCGCCCCCCGGACAGAGCAACGGCGGGCCGCATCTTAGACGAGGACGTTAGGGATAGGAGACCACGCCCTGCTGCTTTTGGTTCAGGCCCGCAATCCTCTGGGACTGACGATTTGGAGATGCCTAAGGGGCAGCAGATGAGGGAGGATGTCCATGGCATTCTGCTCAGAGACATGGTCAGGGCGGAGGTGGACGAGAGAGAGAGTTGTGCGGGCACAGGAGGCCGCTCGTGTAGCGTCCGACCAGACTGGGCGTGTGGGTGACGGTGGAGTTGGTCCCCGGACGAGGACGAGGACGAGGGTGGATGTTGTTGACTACGACGATTAGTTGTTTGTATATTCTCGACTTTGTTTTAGTTTGTATTTTACATGTGGCGGTTTTCCTTGTTGTAAATACGACTTTTGATTTCCAGTTACATGCACTGCTTTGCGTACATATTGAGTTGCAGGTAGGCAGGGCGTACTGTGGTGTTTTGGTGATACAAGTCATAGACATTGGACAACACATGACGAGAGAGAGAGAGAGAGAGAGAGAGAGAGAGAGAGAGAGAGAGAGAGAGAGAGAGAGAGAGAGAGAGAGAGAGAGAGAGGTTTGTTTCATGTTTTTTACCTGACCTTCGAGGTGTTGTTTTTGGATGACCATGCTTCTTATTCCGACAGTTGGTTTTCACAACATTGTTTTTGCAAGCGACTCCATACTCAGTTGTGTTTCCCATTGTACGCCCGACATTGCTTGCTTGGACTCTGTAAATGATGAATGACTCAATGCATGCTCTGATGTGACTTGAAAAATAATGTAAGGTTTTCACCTT